TTTACTTCCTGTGCTTCTCCTTGATTGTCTTAGTTGTCTCACCTGTGTGTAATTAGTTTCTCCCTTACCTGTGTATTTAAGTGGTTGTCAGTATTTCAGTTGTGGCCAGTTCATTGTTGATGTCTTTCGTGTGTGTAATTTGAGTGTGGATTTTGTCGAGTTCACTTTGGGTGGATTAATACCATTTTGGATTTAGCACCTCGTGGACTGTACACTCCCGTTTTTGAATCTATGGACATTCTGGTTTCACCTGCTCTGTAAGTTCTTTGTTGTTCCTTTTATTCACCAGTTACCAGTTCCGTGTCTGTATTTGGGTCCAAAACCCCTGTCTCCAACATTCAGCTGAGAGGCAGAACGTAACAACTCCAGCTTCAGGAGTCAGCAGGTGAGACTGGGAAACATCACATCCAGCACCCGGACTATTAGCACTGGTGCCCCCCAGGGGTGTGTGCTCTCCCCACTGCTCTTCTCCCTCTATGCCAATGACTGCACCTCAGGAAACCGATCTGTCAAACTCCTGAAGTTCACTGACGACACAACGGTCATCGGCCTCATCTGGAATGGTAACACTCAAAATGTCCTTGAAGAGGAGACAGATGAGGTGTCCACAAGATCATGTATATTGTGTAGTGTCTCTCTCTCTCTCTCTCTCTCTCTCTCTCTCTCTCTCTCTCTCTCTCTCTCTCTCTCTCTCTCTCTCTCTCTCTCTCTCTCTCTCTCTCTCTCTCTCTCTCTCTCTCTCTCTCTCTCTCTCTCTCTCTCTCTCTCTCTCTCTCTCTCTCTCTCTCTCTCTCTCTTCCCCCCCCCCCTTCTGCCTCTTAAAAGGAAGTTTTTCCTTGCCTCTGTCGCCTAGTGCTGCTCTTGGTGGGAACTGTTGGGCTTCTGTAAATATCATCAGAGTACGGTCTAGACCTGCTCTTTTATGAAAAGCGCTGTGAGATAACTGTTGTTGTGATTTGGCGCTATATAAATAAAATTGAAATCTGTCAATCAACTATTTCACAACCCCATTTAATCTCATATTGTGTGTTTTTATTTTTATCTTTTTTTTGCAACAAATAGAATAATTAAACACATCGGACTCAATGTGCAAGGTTTCTGTGCTTAACAAGTTTGATCTGATGATGGATTAAGAAAATGCATTTGAAAAATGTGTTCAAATGTCTTGGTGTGCCAGCCTATAAGCTATAACTGACTTTGTCCAGCAGAAAGCCAGGCCGATATTTACTCTTGTCCGATCGCTTGCTAATTACTCTATTGTGATAAATTTCCTGCCCAGGACTCCAGTGTTTAAAATAGTGCAGTAGCTGGCATAGGGAGCCTGTGGTGTCAATGACAGAGACTCCATTCACCCTATTACAAGTCAGTGTATCATAGGGTTAGGTATCATTTAAGATTTTATGATACCAGTACCCTTTGGTAAAATGATATATACAATAGAGTACTTCACTAGATGCCGGTTGAAGCCACAGTAGTCAATTGGTAACCTTTTTTTATTATTGTTATGGACAAGCAAGGTTATCTATATTTTATTTTTTTCAAATAACTAACATAAAAATATTAAATTTTTGAAACGTTTGTCAAAATTAAATAATTATTTTGTTAACTTTCGATCAATAAACTGAATTGAAAGATCTCCACGAGTGCTTTTTCCTTTAGTGGTGAGTGGCAAACATCCAAAAAGACGACCGTAAGAGGTAGAAAATGAGTAAGGAGTCTGTTTAAACAAGTCACTAAACTACACTTAGGAGTCTAAAGAAACAACCAGAGGAAAAGAGAATCTGCACATCCAGCCGATCACACAGACTACACCTGCAGCAGCCGCAGCTGCAGCCAGAGGCTCCATGTAAAGTAAAATCAGCTAATTGCTGCTGTGCCACAAAAGTGTTAACTGATGTGATGGAATGCAGCAATCGATCTGTGACAAGTGATGTGAACAGCAAATAAAAATGTACAGATAAGTAAATGATACCAGAAGATGAAACCAGCGGAAAGCCAAGCTTGTGCTGATAAACTTGCAACAGTGACGAACATGCCTGAGACGGCAGCTGAAGGTGAGCGGCTGTTAAAATCATGTCTGGCACATGCGTAAGGAAAAAGAGCCATGCACTTGTCTTGTGTTGCTTGCATGTATGGCTGCAAGCAAAACCATACATAAATTACCATAATAGTCATTTTTTTGCTGCGATCTGGTTACAAAAAGTATCGAATGATGGACTGGAGACGTTTCAATAGTACTCTATTTCAGTCAGTACCTTAAAGCAGTGGTCGGCAATAGACGGCCCACGGGCCAGAACCGGCCTGCCAGCAATAATATCTGGCCCGCGGCCAGATTGCTTTGATAGCAGAAACACAAAAAATAAATAAACTGATAACAGCTGGTGATTAAATGGATCTCAGTCATCACAGCTACAGTTACTCACATAACCACTTCCTCTTAAGTGATTGTGCCTCTAAAATAAAAGCGCAAGAACGTCTTTTGCAGCAATGCTTTATGTTGAGTTTATTAAGGGCAATTCAAAAGAGTCTCTGGCTTGCTTGACACACCTCTGAAAAAGCTGTAAACGTGTGATTGGATTCCCCTGACTTTCCTCAGGGAAATGAAAATAAGTGTCCACAGGTTTATGAATGCGGATCAAACACCGGAACGCGCACACACACACTGCAGCACATGCTTTATTTGAGCATATGCAAAAGTGTCCTTTTGTTAAATTTGTTCAACAAGGTAGAAAAAAATTTCCGCAATAAGATGAGATCAATCTCACTGTCTACCCATCGGGAGTCCCGCACAGTACCAACTGAGCTAATCACGCACATGATTTTGTAAGGTTTGACTTTGTTCTGGCCCGCCATATAATGGCTTGGAAAAATTTGGCCCGATGCCAGACTTATTTGCCGACCCCTGCTTTAAAGGTATCGAGTAGCAATATCCATTCTTAGTGTATCATGAAAATTAATTTAAAGCTGTTATTTTGAAATAAAGATAACTTTCACATTTTAGGATGGTGAAGACATCAGTAAATCATTGACAGAGATCAATTCATCAAAGCTGCTGTTGTTGCAAAGCTCAATATTTTTATTTTGCAGAACTCTACCAGGAACACATTTGAGTCCAACCCCCCCTTGTCTTACTGGGATCGGCATGGAACAATAGTTACGTATTGTAACTCCAGATTCTGTATGAGTATGATGAGTATAGGCACATCCCTCTAAGGCTATCGCTAGTGGGTTTATCACTTAAATGCATGCGCAACACTGGCATGATGCAGTTTAGGATGCAGGAGAGCGAAGCTGCTCTCCCCCTGGGTTTTGAGACATGAGGGAGCCACAGAGAGGGCAGCCAGATTGCTGCCTCTCTTGGCAGATGTTGAGGGCTCCCGAGAGCTCAGTGAGAAAAACAGGGCGCACTGAGCTTTCTCTCGTGAGTCGAACAGAACCACCTCTGCCCCGCCGGACCTGATCCAGGTCTGAGCGATCAAATCGGGGTGGAGGTTCCACCCGACATGGTGTCAGTCTGACATCAGTCTCAACAGCCGCATGACTGACTGAGCCATCACCTTATGGCCTCTCAGTGTAGAGGCTTCAGAGCCATTTCTATGCTTTTGGAGAAGGTGCGAGGGGCCAGTGACGGTTGCACTGGTATTGGACTGCCTCGAAGGAGAAACGCAGGAAGTTCCTGTGTTTCAGATCAATGTAAGCGTCGAAGTACCCGTCCTGCAGGTTGATGGAGGTGAGCCAGTCTCCCTTGCGCACACACTCCAACACCTGTGTTATAGTCAACGTGTGACCTAGCCTGTCCACTATCACCCTGTTCAACAAGGACAGATCGAGGATGGGTCTCATGCCTTCCGTTTTCTTCCTGACCAGGAAGTAACAGGAGTGAAAGCCCTGATTTTATGCACGCGTGAGATAAACCCGCTAGCGATAGCCTTAGAGGACAAAACCTATAGCAATAGAACGTGGACCGCCCATCGACTACAGTAATTGGATCTGGAATGTTTTGGTGCAGCCAGGTCTCTGTAAGATGTGAGCACAGCAGTCTCTGATTTCCCATTGCTGAGTTAGTTTGTGTCCCATTTTGTCCATGCCATTTTCCTGCGACCGGACAGCAGCCAAAGGTAGGCCAAATAGAGGAGCAGCTTTAGGTCAAAGCTGGGCCAGCTTGAATCTGGATAGGTGGTCAAGATGTGGTGAGCAGGGATCGTCCCAGGGTCCGCTGCACTTAATCCAATCCAAATGTGGCAAAGTTTGAACAAGCTACTGGCCTCCAATCTGCATGTGCTGCCATCACCATGGTTACTGTAAGTGATGATATGTTAATAATAAAAATAAATAATGTTCAAACATGCATTAAATAAATAAATCCAAAATCTCCCTCTGTTACTCCAGACATGCTTTTTCTGAGACAGCCTATTTATCAGGTACCTTCATTAGGATAGAATATATCTTAATTGTCCACCAGGGTGGAAATTTGTTTTCGGCTCACCAAACACATGAAACAACAACGTGAGAAACAAATGAGACGTTAATAAAACACACACATTGATAAGTTAAGCTGTAAAGTTCAGATTATTGATGACACTCGGGATCTTAAATACATTTTTAGTTGTCAGAGGGACTCTATAGCACCTCCTAGAGCTCAAAGGCTCAAACTGACTGAAGAAAGGATGGGAACTATGTACCAGGATAATTCAATTTCTTCCTCGCTCTTTCTGCATAAAATCAAAAGCAGAGACTCCACACGCAAGTAATCAAATGCAATAGCACATAACATGTGAATAGTTACATGTAAGAAAATAACAATTGTCAGAGCAAACAAAAATTAAGAATCAAAACAGCTAAATCATGTAGTAAACTGGGTCAGTCCCAACAGAAAATGCATTTAGTGTGATGCTCCATTATCTGGCCCCTGATTTGCTGCTTGCAGCTACATTTTGGTTTCTGATCTGTGATTGGTTGGCTCTCTGAGCCATCTGTCACACTGGCTGTGTTGAAGGGGAGGGAACTACACTGACTTTATAATATATAAAGCTGAAATGACAAACTATTCAACAACAAGACATCAACAGCAACAAGAAATCACAGATCAACTACTTTTACAAGACAAAGATGGCCAGCAAACATCTTCAGACTGGTAAGTATATTTCATATACAGTACTCTTACTCAGGGTAGTGCTTGATAAACCAGCAGAGCAACCACTTATTCTCCTCTTACTACTGCAGTTTCATGTATCTTTAACAGCAATGATGTTTTACAGAATCATCACACTCAATCCTTACATTAATTTTACTGACAACCTACTCAGTCTTTTGCAAGTATAAATTTAATATTAATTAATTAACTTATTTGTAAGTTTAGTCTTCTCAGACATGAGAAGTTTTAAAAATCACCTTCATCAGTTGTTTGTATTTTTTGTTCTTTACATTTGAATTTTTTTGGATCAGTAAAACATGTGGTAGCAGTATAATCAACATGGCTTGCAATCAGTGCTCTTCAAATGGACTAGAATGTTTAACCATGAGGCCAAAAATGCAATTCTTATCTTTTTATCTGTTATTCTCACCTGAGAGATGCCTGTCTAGTTTACATCCCAGATTGTTTCTACTACTTGAAAGATTTCCCTTCCTTAATAAAAAACCAGGTTCCTTTCCTAGTTTGTATTTAATTCTAAAGAGAATGGTTTTAGTTCTACAAAAGTTAAGAGACATTCTGTTTTCAGATTGAGAGAGAATGTGTTACTACAGGTCCAACTAGAGACATAAAGAAAGCAGTATCATCAGCATACAGAAAAATATGAAACAAACAAGCTGCTTTTAGATTACTAAATGGTAGTCTACAATAACTAGAATTTTGCCCCTTTGAGGGTGTAATGTTTCTTACACTTCAGAAAATGTACTGAAAAATTAAGACACTTTATGGTGATAATTTCTAACAAGTGCTGACTACCTTTGTACTGATTCTTTTTCCGGTTTGATTTGTACCATGTCAGCATTAATATGTTCTGCCTCCAGGAAATAGGCACGACTTGCACTTACACCAACTTGGTTTTTATATGTTACAAATTCACTGCCAGCAATAAAAGTGGCATTACAACTAGTGCTGGGCAACAATTATAAAATTTTAATTGCAATTATTTGCATGCTTTTGTGCGATCAATTGCAATCAATCGCATTGTTATGCGCAAAATTGAATAATGAATTTTTAAATGTACTGCTATATATACAAGTGTAATAACATGTGGTTTACAAACACTTTAAATAAATAAGGTGCTTTCTTACCAGACGTATTCCCTTTACGCAGTAGCAATAAAATATTTCTTGTAAATCTCAATTTAAACATTAATGTAATCAAATCAAATACCAAGCCAAAGATATTTGCCACTGCCAGGGAATTACCTTTTATCTAGCTTGTTAAAACATGTTACCATGAAGGCCACGATCGTAACAACATAATATATAAATCTGTTTTCTTGTTTTTTTTTCTGAACAGGTATCAGAAACATTTTTCTTTTATCAAGGAGCTGCAGAAACAGTCAGTAGCAAGTGTCCCTGTTAGAGTTAGGTGAAGTAGTCGAGCACAAGGCGTAGCGGCAACTGGGTGTGTTCCCGCCTCACGCACATGCCGCCCGCTTCCGACGTAAAATCGACTTTTTGTACGTGACGCACAGCACAAATCATTGGAAGAGAGACTGATCCTCGCTGTTTGTGAGTTTCCAGAATCTATTACTGTTTACTGAATAGGACATCCAAAGGAGGGAATTCGCTTGGCAGAGCATCCCCGCAAAACTAGATGAAGGCCTATCAGGTCAAGTTATGTAGCCTGTAATTTTAACTTAAGTTAAATAGGCCACAGCTGTGTAGCGCACAGAAGCCATTGCCGTGGTTCCTATCCATAGAGTGCCTGCCGTTTACTCGCAGAGCACTGTCTTACTTCTCCCACACTCTGTATCCAATGTAGTCTGCCGAAGCCTCCCTCCTCCACTGCTTGTTTGGGTGGGTGATTTGCAGGCTGATCAACCTCCCACCCCTCCTGTGACCCATGGTTGGACTGTATGTGTATACAGAGCCTGTGAGCAACTGACTTTCAAAATAATAATAATAATAACTAAAACTGTGTTAACGTGATAACTGTTGGTGTTAATTAATTAATGCGTTAACACGATAATAATGTGGTAATGTGCCCAGCCCTAATTCCATGTTTTAATTGCAGGTGAACATGGACTGTATGCACATACAATGCACTGCTGAGACTGTTCAATTTTACAAACCCATACACTAGTACACTACTTGACCTAACTTGACATGACTCCACCCGATCTGACTCCACTTGACTTGCCTCAAATCAATGCCACTTAATATGACCTCACTCGACTGCATTCAACCTGACTCCACTCAATTTGACCTTAATTGAGTCCACTCGACCATGGCTACCTGAGCATCTTGTTAGTGTTTCTTGCATTGTAGTGGCCTGAAACTCAAACATTTCAAAAACTTTAAGAGGTTGTATTCAGTTCAAGTTCAAAATCTTATTTAGAGGTTGTACCAGAACAGGTTTACATGGTTATATTTTTGTTATACTGCACATTGCTGCAGCTCTTTGTTTCACCCTGTGTTGAAGGCTTTGTTTTAGCTATGGAGTGATACATCTTGTCTCTAAATTATATTTGCTGGGAGTTGCACATGCTCAGTTCAGGGTTAAGGACTACTAGCCAATCAGAAGCAGAGTAGGGCGGGTCAGCGAGAGCGGGTGTGCTGCAGCTCACTGTTTCTGAGGGCGTGTCGGAGTAGCCGCTTGGCGAGCGTTATATGAGGCGCATTTAGCTTTCATCCCTGTGACGTCACAGGGATGAAAGGGAAGCGGCTGGACTACAAACGAGCTGCTTTCAGACAGTTCAGAGCAGATAAATATATATATATCAATAAAGGAGAGGGGAAAAGCCAAAAAGCAGAATACCACCTCTTTAAAGGTTTAACATAATTAGAGGTAGGTAACATGAAACTTGAACTTTCTGGCATTATTTCAAATTTTACTGTAACATTTTAAAATACACCTGCAACATTTTACCAGTATACTATTTGTATTTTTTGTATTTATCCACATTTTTTAGTTAACTGGAAAGAATAGGAAAACATTCCTTTCTCAAACACAAAGATCAGTGCACTCCCAACACTTTTGTAAACATTTTTACGTTTGAACAGATAAAAATATCCCAGTGTGGCACATGTGATCATGTGCCACACTGGGATATTCATGTTCTGAGAAGATGTGCTGGAAAATCCTACTTGCCAACAATGTCTTCTTGTCATCTGCATCAGTTGTTTTGCTCTAAAAATGTAAAAAAAAATAAAATAAAATGTTGTGCTTGAAGGCTGATAATTTATTATTTATACAGCTATTTTATTTCCTATAACTGATAGGCATTGCATTGTGCACTTCAATTTCAAACTAGCAGGTGTGTGTGTGTGTGTGTGTGTGTGTGTGTGTGTGTGTTCGTATGTGTGTATGGTCATGGCTGATCTAACTTTTTATAAAATCAATTATGTCATTTCAGAGGAATCAAAGCTGAGGATCGTGCTCCTGGGAAAGACCGGAGTTGGTTTGAGTGCGTCAGGAAACACCATCCTTGGGAGGAAAGAGTTTACGAGTGAACTGTCTTCTGCATCTGAAACAAGAGAGTGTAAGATGAAGGAAAGAAAGTTTGATGGACAAACACTGGCTATTGTTGATACTCCAGGTCTGTTTCACACAGACAACGATCATAAGAAGGTGATGAAAAAGATCTTACAATGCATCATGATGACTATGCCCGGTCCTCATGTGTTCCTGTTGGTGCTAAAGCTAAATTCCTTCTCACAGCAAGATGAAGATACACTGAAAACCTTCAAGAACATCTTCAGAGACGCAGAACGTCATACTATCGTCTTGTTCACCCATGGAGATGAATGTAAGGATGATAATTGTAAGGTTCAACATCAATGTCAAGCTTTGGCTAAAAGAAAAGAAGATGTCAGAAATGTCATCGTTCTGCGTGATGATGCATTTCATGTCTTTAACAACGAAGTCGAGGATGAGTCTCAAGTTAGTGACCTGGTGCAGAAGATCAAGAACATGGTCCAGGAAAATGGCTACTACAGAGGCGAAATATATGAAAAGGCTGAGAATGCCTTAGAAGAAAAAAATGAACCCCATGAGGTACAGGAAGGTAATAAAGAGCTATTTGGGAAGCATGTGGAGGACATGATCAACAAGGGTCAGGCTATATTGGAGGAACGCATTTTAGATTCCTTTCCAGGTGTGAAATCTTTCCTCAAAAAAGTGCAAGACATGGCATATGCATGCATGCCACCAGAATCTAAGTAAATAGAGCTCATCAAATGAGTACTAAAAAACATATGACAAAGGGAAAATCATAGTGGTGAAAGGATGCAAATTTATTGTTTATTTTTCACTGTTCAATACACTTTTCAAAATGTATACAATGTGTAGATGCTATATTCGTGATCTGTGGACAGTTGGGGCATTGGCTGTTGTGTGAATAGTGATCTTTTTCTTTTTTAGGAAAGGTGACAGTAGTGTGAGTTTGTTATACTGCTACATAAGGCGTCAGGTTGATTTTTTTCCTACCAAAATCTCTAAACATTGTTGCTTGACTGTCCAGTCACCGCAGTCCCGATGAGATACGATGCTTGCTAAGCAATAAGCTTTTATTACCAAGCGTTTCGCCTCTTAGGCTACACACAGGCCACTCCTTCTTATTGGAGAGGTTTGTTGGATCAGTATGCATCCAAATTATGCAACATAAATCAAATAATAGCGTAAAATGTTTAAATCAAAGCACCTCAAACCATTTCTGTGCTCTGTCTGATGAAATGTTTATGGCGGGAGCTTTCAACATTAATTTTGTGTTTGAGGAAAAACTGTTAACCGAGGAAATTTTCAGACATTTGAGATGTATGTAAGTAGATTTGTTAACTTGTAATTAAATCCTGTTGTAAACTGCAGGTAAAAAAATTTAAATGCTTATTTTGTGCATACATATTGTGATGAAAGGCTTCCATCAATTTCCTTTTTTAATATTTTGGATAACACTTAAATAAGGCTGGAATTATTAAGTGTTATATACTTGTATTATCCTGAATCCTTGTGTGGTGGGTTACTGATCAGGTGTTTTTATTCCCTGTGCATCCTTGATGTTTCTTGCATCATCTGAATAAAGTGATATCTGTCTAATCTGTATGATGCTCCTCATTGTGAAAGTCATTCCCCATTTATGACATTAAACCAGATTTCACTACATTGTACTTCTCTATAGTTAAACAACTATGCAACATTACTTTTTTCAACATGTTTAATTATCAGCACCACATTAACAACCAGACAGGAAAACACAATTTTACTTCTCTGCAGTTTTCTTGCTGTAATGTGACCACCAGACGAAGCTAAAACAAAGAGACGGAGTGAATGTAAATGCTCCGTATTTGTATAGCGCCTTTCTAGTCTTTTCGACCACTCAAAGCGCTTTTACACTACATCTGCATTCACCATTCATACACATTCATACACTGAGCCTAAGTGCTCTAACAGAAACTAACATTCACACACATTCATAAACTGGCAGAACAGCCTCCAGGGGCAATTCGTGGTTCAGTATCATGCACAAGGACACTTTGACGGCCAACCCGCACACACCCACCAAACAGGAGATAACATGCCTCAAAGCCTGTTGCGCAACGTTGCACAACATTACTTGGAAACATGTCGTTCAATCCGACAACACACACACACACACACACACACACACACACACACACACACACACACACACACACACACACACACACACACACACACACACACACTAGCCTACACTAGATCCATTAGTTGAACTAGTGCAGTGCCTGTTCACAGGGTCTATGCACGCCTCTGTGTGCTTTTTGTTGGTTTCACCTACAGCAGTGGTTGGCAAGAGGCGGCCCGCTGCTGAAATAGATCTCAGTCATGCCAGCAACAGGTATTCACACATTCTCTTCCTCTTAAGTGATTGTGCCCACAAAATAAACCCGAGAAAGTTTTTTGCAGCAACGCTTTATTTCAAATTGAATTGAGTGCTTTTACTTTGAAAAATACTTAAAAAATACTTCCAATCCAATGCAATCCCATCCCTTGTACCTTAAAAACATAACATTTAAAAAAACAAGGTTTACAAAGTGCCGCACAAGGACTAAAACTTAAAAAACATATAAAAAACACATAGAGCATATAAAAACATAGACAACACACAAAAAAATGGTTCCGAAACAATCGAAGGGCAACAACAGATAAAAGCATGAATCACATGCTCAAAGTGCTTTATTATGAACATTATTTATCTGTTTATCAAGTTTAAAATCATTGTCTATTTTTACACCCAGATTTCGGACTATGGGTTTCACATGTTGTTGCAAGTAGCCCAGGTCCACTGGAAGGACATCACCTGCCCAAATGGGTTCAAACACAATGAACTCAGTTTTATCTTCATTAAGATTTAAAACGTTCGAAGCCAGGCCTTAAAGTCTTAATATCTTTTAAACACACTAATAGAGGTATGAGGGAGTTGTTTTCACTTCTTTTGAGGGGCAGATAAATATGGGAGTCATCTGCATAGAAGTGGTAGAAGATACCATGCTTTCTAATAACATTTGCTAGAGGGAGGAGATAGTGAAAAGAAAAGTGGTCCAAGAATTGAGCCCTGTAGAACACCACAAAGAAGGGGGGCAGCAGATGAACCAAAGTCCCCAAGCTTTACTTAAAAGCATCTCTCATATAGGACATATAGGACTTAAATCACTGAAGAGCAGTCTCCCTTTTGTTCCCACCAACACAGTGCTCTAGATAAGAGAAAATAACTGTGTGGTCAACTGTCTAAAAGCAGCAGTGAGGTCTAAAAGCACTAGTATGGCAGAATTACCAGAGTCAGTGGTTAATTAGAGGTCATTAAAAGTCTTAAAGTGAGTTTCAGTGCTGTGAAATGAAAAAAAAAACAGATTGAAATATCTCAAAAATACCATGTACATCTAAAAAAGACTGGAAAAGTGATTTCCCTGAATGAGAAGAGCAGGACGTTCCTCTGCCTGGAGATGCTAAGGAAATTAAAACAAGCGTCCATAGGTTGGTGGATGTGGCTCAATCAACGGAAGCAGTTCTACTCTGAGCTCCATCTGGATTTCTGACGTCTCTCTGAAAGGCTGAACCCAAATACCCTCGCCAGGAAACTCACAGATCACATGTAGGGACAATCTATTTCTTTTGGCCATTACCCAGAGTTGAATAAACAAGACGACATCCATTTTTAAATATCCCAACAATGTTATAAAAGCAGTACTCGTGTAAGTTTATGACATTGAATATTGTATGCTATATGTGTTTTATAATCCAGTTTAATAAAATTGTAAAATTATAAAAGCGTATAATGGCATAATGTAAAACAGTTGTAGGAGGAAAATATGTTTGTATCATTGTTTTGTTTGCCTAACTTATTGTAGGTGTAATTTTGTGTATCTATTTGTGATTGTGTTTATGCATTTAAATAAAATAATAAAAAACAGACCAAAAAGAAAAGCTTTACAAAGGTGGTTTTATTTCAATACATGTTACATCTGTTGGATTTTTCAGTCATTAAAGAATAATGATACTCCAAATTGCAAGTCCTTGTGTGAATGTAGCTGATGGACAAATTTCTCTGGTAAACAGTTCTTAATACCTGTGGAAATCAGTACTCAACCCCTGATTGGTTGCTTGCAGATACATTTTTATTTCTGAACTGTGATTGGTCAGATTTTGGCAAGGAAAAAGTGATGTGTATTTCAGGGGAGGGAACAAGAAGCAGGCTATAATATATAATGATGGGATGGAAATTAAAATAGTCAGAACAAGACATCTACAGTGACAAGACATCACAGATCTGTTGCCTTTACAAAACAAAAATGGACAGTGAAGAAACTTTTCTTTCTCGTAAGTATTATTTCTTTAACATTAATAATACTCAGGATTGTATTTGGGTTTATATATGGCACTGCAGTAATTTTCTCTAATTTAAAGCAGTTCATCAATTATATTCACAATGCACAAATCTGTCAGCTTTTATTTGCCATAAGTAGACCCCACTGTGTGTTATGTAACACTTGTCTCTGTCAGAAGTTTGTCATACCTGCATTATGTGGTATTTGAGAACTTATTCAACAATATGTGTGTACTAACCAACTTTATGTTTGCTGGCTAAAATAAAATCATACTTATGTGTTTGCTTTTTAGTCAAATCAAGACATTTTGAAAAAAAATTTAGAAGACATAGCAAAAACCTAGTTATTTGTATAGCACATTTCATAACAAAGGCAACTCAAGTGCAAAAACAGATATAAAAACAGTCAAGAACAAAAATACAAACAAAATATATTGGTAAAAAACTTTTACAGATCTATTTTGAAAATTTAGAGACAAGCAGCAGTCCTTTAAACTCTGTTCCGGGACATACTGTTATCCGGTGAAGTGAACGTAGAAGTGTCCAGTTTTCTTAATCTTTGTCTGACTAGCAGCTTTCTGTACAGAAGATGCCTGGAAGTTTTTGGTGAGACCTGAGAAAAGACTATTAGAGAAATCTCAGAAAAGACATAAATGGACATAAATCCCACAGTATTTGCTATGTTTTAAAGATGGTGCGATGCAAACTTTGTTACTGATTTGAATGTTTAACTCAGTCCAAGATGGCACTAACATTTTTGACTTGGGTTTCTGTTTAGATAAGAGGACCAATAACTCTCTGCCTTCCTTTCTTTGCGTCAGAGACAGTTATGTCAATTCTGTCTACCTTTTGCTGGGTTTGATTGATGAAGGTTTGATCCTGTCCGATAATTTATTTGTTCAATTCACTTGTAGAGAGAATCTATGCACTCACTTGGTTACAGAGCAAATGCAGTAAATGTGGATGTTGTCTGCATAATTATGGTAGTGGCATTTAAATGGAAAATAGAAGAGATCCAAGAATTGAGCCTTGGGTAACTCCACACATCATGTTGGTCCACTCAAATCCTGTCCTGTTTATCTTGTCCTAAAATTAGGACTTTTCTTTGGCACAGTGAGAGCCCGACTTTATGGTCAATGTGGTCACATACATCTAATAAGACTAAAACTGTTCAGTTTCTAAATCAATAACAGCTCGTGTTTGCTGTTTTTTTAATATTAGTTTTGCTTCGGGAAAATGATCAGATGACAGAACTATTGACTATCTGCTGTAAAAAGTTTTTTTTAATTAAGCTTGTTGATGGAGCAAGTGGATGGCTTAAGATGCAAAACAATTTCGTCCTGTAGTCAATCACATCAAATCTGGCCATTTCCCCATATTCCTCCCACATGATTGTACATTTGAATCCCTTTTTGGATAAAAATTTATTTTTAATAGCTGATCTATTAGCTTTAATTTTATAACTGCTAACTAGGAATTTTATGCAAAAACAGCACATCACGAAATAAGCCATTTTCAAAACTAGAAGAACCTATCTATCGTTCGGGCTAATTTCAATTGAAAATGTTTATATGTAAAGATGTGAGCAATACTTTCTATCTACACCAAAAAATAGGCAAAATGACCAATACATAAACTCTCAAGCTTGTGACTTGTGTTTCAGCAGGACGACAAAATTTGCATGTGTTTTCCTAAACTGTGCAAAATTATACATATTTTTCATGATGTGACACTGTGGTTGAAGTTTGGTTAGGTTTAGGCACAAATACAATTAATATTAGGAAAATATTGTGGTTTGGATTAAAATGACTACATACTAAAATTCAGGTTCTATTACTGCTTGACTTCTGACAGAGTATTTGTATACAATGGTACTACTTCCTTAAGTGCATAAAAAAAAATTGTCCTTCTTCCCCCACTGATGTTTGTGTGATATTTTCCAACAGAGCTGAGGATTGCACTCATTGGGAAGGTTGGAGTTGGGAAGACCTCAGTCATGAAAACCCTCCTGATGAGCTCAGAAGAAGTTCTCCCTGACACAGAAAAGTGTCAGAAGAAAGAAGCAAAGATCGGAGGACAAACTGTGGTGGTTGTTGACACTCCAGGTCTGTGTAAACCAAGAAAAACAAAGGAGGAGTTGATTGAGGAGATTAAAAAAATGTGTCTCATTAACTGATCCTGGTCCTCATGTGTTCCTGTTCGTGCTGAATTTGGATAGATTTACAAAAGAAGACCAG